TGTCAAGCTTCATGTTAAGGTGCCTATGCTCGAAAGATTGAGGTCAGGCTACAGGCTTAAGTCGAGTTTCATGAGATCGGGCTCCTGAAACATCAATCCAGCTTTGGCTACAACTCTTTATGACATTTGTCCTCATTCAAATCACATGCCTATCACAGTTTGACTCAAACTCAAACAAAACACTTTCATTATAATACAAACACTCTATATCATAAGGATAAGGGCTACAGGCTGTTGAATCCTTTTACAACTCTACCTCTAATGTCTATAAATACATGATCAAAACTCATTGATAAGGTACGTTTTACATACAATTTCAGTATATGTTCTCATATAAATTCCTTGCTTGACTTAAACATAGGAGAGGTGAGGAGAACACATCTCATTGCCTTTGTTTCAGGTACTAGAAGATTCTGTTCACGCTCTTTTTCATTCCTCAAACTCGGGAGATCTATCATGTATGATTTTTGATAGCATCAATTACTTTTGAGAAATTTATGATCAAAATATTTAGAAACTCTCGGAGAAAAAAATGAACTTTGACTTTGTTGCATAATTTGTTACAAGTTACTAAAAATCTAAAACACAACAATAATAGAAGTTTGGATAGTTTTCATAGTTGAAGATCGAATGTACTATAATGAAAAGTTGAAGGATTAAATTATTCATTTTCAAAGATCGATACCTAGAATGATATTAGGTCAACAGAATGGGGATCAAATATGCAATTTCCCCCTACTTTATAGTTACTGCCAGCTTCACTTAATCGGCATTCGGCGTACAAGAGTGGCAGTGAAAAAAAATTAATAATAATAATAATAAAATAAAAATTATATCGTACAACACGTTCTAGCATCGATTTGCTCTCGTATTCACAGTGTATAAGCCCGGGGATATAGCATGGGTCAATCTGAAATCCGGGTGATCTTCCGTGTATATCAGAATGTTCATGAGGATGTCCACTCTCCACTCTCCTCACAAAGGGCTCACTATTTATCTGAAGCCAGACCCTTCCATGCGGGGAGATGGACATGGACAAATAGCATATTTCTGAGAACCGCAGAAAAAAATAATTACATTATAAATACTAATAATAACCCTAGTTCTTGAATTCAGATCAGACAAGACCGTCGATAAGGGGAAAAAGAGAAATGGCATCGGCAAATGAGCGGGAGAACTTCGTATACATCGCCAAGCTTGCAGAGCAAGCCGAACGCTATGATGGTTTTGCCTCTTTTTATCTCCCTAAATATGAATTGCTTCTAGATCCGGCAGTTCAGCTTCATTTTTAACGTGAAATAGTTAAACCTGGGTTAATTGCAATGATAATGTATCTATTGAATTTTGAAATTCGAAGATGTAGAACTGATGTCTTGATCATCTTGGGAAAAACCTTTTAGATTGAAGTTTGTTTATTCTTTTACTTGCTTGTGGAAGAACAGTGGATACTCTGCTTCTTTTTGTGGAAGTCCAGTTAATCTTATTAAATTGGTGCTATTACTTTTTAAGATTTCCCTGTAATTTGGACTCCTAAACCTGTTTTGTTTATATATTTTGAGGTAATGATGGTTCAATAATCAAAAGTATGCTTTTTGATGGTCGCACTATTGAAGAAATTATGGGTTAATTGATTTAAATAAGTTGCTTGTTTTTGTTCCCTTTTTTTTTTTTAATTTAATGTGTTAATTATATAGTTCATCTTTCTGAGATGCGATCTAAAGTCTGAGTTTTCAGACTTGTGGAACAGTTTTTTTTTTTTTTTTTAAATTATCCATGAAATTTTTTGCCTATTTAATTTTTATTCGTTTGTAGAAATGGTGGATGCTATGAAGAAGGTAGCAAAGCTTGATGTCGAATTGACAGTTGAGGAGCGGAATCTGCTGTCAGTTGGATATAAAAATGTGATCGGATCTCGAAGGGCTTCTTGGAGGATTTTATCATCAATTGAAGAAAAGGAAGATGCAAAGGGGAATGGACAGAATGTAAAGCAAATAAAACAGTACAGGCAAAAGGTTGAATTAGAGTTGTCTGATATTTGTAGCGACATCATGGCTGTAATTGATGAGTATTTGATTCCTTCCTCATCGGGCAGTGAATCCACCGCATTTTTCTACGAATTGTGAATACTCTTTGCACATTTATGAACTTCACATGCTTGGCGCTCTTGAGTGGTCTATGTTAGCTAGTTTTTGTTTGAGTTTTTGCATTTGTGAAATTGTTGTAGGAAAGGGGATTACTACCGGTATTTGGCAGAGTTTAAGAGTGGCAGTGACAGAAAGGAGGCTGCTGAAGAATCTCTGAAAGCGTATCAGGTGGATCTCAATTTCTTATTAGGAATTATTGTGTACTTATTATTTGTTCATAGACGCTCGTATCATATTATTCTTTCCCCCCCC